AAAAGAGCAGTATCTCGTACAAAAAAAAAAGGAGTGGGAGGGTGGGTTTTCAATTTTACCGCTTACGAAATTTAAACAGCTTGCTTGCTGCGATGAAATTCTGTAAAGGACTAAATTACGTCACAGAATATAACGTCACTCATGTTAGGTAAATCTAAAACATGAAACACAATCCGTCAGTGGCCCCAGCGATAACTGAATTTAAGTCTATTTACTTAAATTCCATTATCTCAGATGGTGCCATTAAAACAAAATACATATATGGTTTGGCGATATCTGGCCACAGCTTTTATTCATAATCTAGATTCATATGATATATATATATATAGATAGAGAGATAGATGTATATGTATATGTAGATAGATATATGGTTGGTTACCCGAAGATAATATGGCAACCTTGCTGCAAAATGCAGATAGATAGATAGATATATATGAAAATGTAAAGGTGCACCGTGGGATACACTGGTGCTTTAAATTTAGAAAACACCATGGGATACACAAGTGTAGTCTGTATTATCCAAAAACCTAAAATTTCATAGTTAACATTAAGATTCTATGCAGCGAATTCTGCCACATTGACGGAGGAAAACAGAGACTCTGTCAACCGCCATAAAAAGGGTGGTTCGCTGCAAAGCTGTGAACCAGATATGAGATAACTACAGATAGATAGATAGATATTTTTATTCAAAGTACAACTTGGTACATATAAATGTTAAATAATTTATATGATGTTTTGTGAACAACTGTTCAAAAACATATTTACCTACACAGATAAAAATACTAACCAAAACTACACCAAACCATAAGATAGTTGATTGTACTTGTATACCATAAAATATAGTATATTATAGTATATCATCAAATATATATTCAAGATGTTTAACAATTCATTTCATAAGCATGTTAAGGGTGACAAGTGAAAAACATCCAGTTGGAAAATTTTTGGTCTGATCGAAAATCATAATATTTTATGTAGCAACCCTGACAGCTAATTATAAAGGCAATAATATAGTTGTATATTCTATAGCAACACAAGTCCATGCTTTGCAATAACCTGGTCAAATTTGAGACCATACTTACTTAAGAATTGATGAATCGCATAATCCATCTGATCATGTTCTTCATCTCATTGTGCAAAAATCCAACTCTAGAACTACCTGTGTCATTACCTGCTACATGTTTTATTAAGAAATATGGTGGATCCTCATAGTTTCATGTTCTGAGTTAACTTTTAACATGCTTGACAATCATGCCACCACAAAGATTCATTTCCGTGCCTAGACCTAAGTCAACCCCATCTGGAGGATGTCGGTCTGCTACAAAAACATACTTACTATTGAGGATTCTACTATCCAAACATTAAAGCTAATAGGATCTCCTACAATTCTTGTACAGCAAATAGCTACATGGAAGTATATGTTACATATTAATACCATTGAATACAATTTAAAGCATAATTAATCGAGAAAAATAATAATTCTTCTGTAACCCCTGTCTTAAGTTGTCAGCATTGGAACTCCGACCCTTTAATAATCCTCAAAAACAATTGAAAAGACAGCTTCAAACACACTGAATTCATACCAAGTTTAGCCAACAACAAGATAAGGAAATATTTGCTAGACTTCAGCATGACTCTGGTTAAGGTAAATGTAAAGGCCTGGAGTGTTTCATACCTTCTTAAAAACTGACAAACATCTGTTAAATTTTCCTAGAAAATATCCAAACCTAGTAAAAGTAATGTCACAATTTTTGTTGAGAGAGATACAAAATGTACAAGTAAGCAATACCTTAACAATTCATAGAGAGAGATAGTAAATGTATTCATTAAAACAATTAGAGATCTGAACTCATGAAAAAAGAAAGACTGTCCTCTCTGATACATCTGTATGTACTGGGTGCTGTGGAACTTACAATTAAACGGTTACTAAAGGTCTGAAATAACAGTAATAAAACCCGTGGGGTTATAGCAGGATAAACATCTGCAGTTGGGACCAAGCATCTGAAGCGATCCACCTAAAAACCAGAAATGGCTTCAGCCATAATGAAAAATTTGTACCAGAACAGTGATAATGAATGTCATACTAAACTCCCAAATATATGAACTAAAATAAAAATTCATACAAGGCTAACATAGGCCAGAGGCTCCAGACTTGGAACAGGTACTAAATTGCGGAGGGGTTAAACAAGTTATTTAGAATTTCAACCAAATGCAGAAAAAACAAACACACAGCAATACGCACAGTAAAAATCACACAGTTTAAAGAAGTCCGAGTCCAATATCAGAATAGGTAACAAAACAAACAAAACAAAAATTGAAAAATGACGACATTACATTAATCAACAATGGACTACTAACAGCTACTGACATGCCAGCTCCAGACCTCAATTTACCTGTTCGAAAGATTATGTCTTCATTATATGAAATATCTAGCACCATCCCTCCGATGGGGGTTTAGTATCATATCATCATAACATATATTAGAGGAACATAACCCGTATCAACCAGCAACTGGTTTAAGAATAAATGAGTTTTTGTCCGATGCAAAGTCTGTGCAAGTGAATCAATATTGAAGCCAAAATATGCCATTTTTTATGCAGGCAACAGTGTTCCTTCTTTATAAGTTTGCTTTAATGTTTTGTTAGCTTTTGAGGTAAACTGACATTTTGTACTTTGTAAAGTATATTACCATAAAAGATTGGATGGGAAATACCTGAATGTGTAAGATGTCTATGTAGAAGTGAATTTCTTATAATGTAATAAAACTGCCCATAAATACAAGGCCAGAAGAACTGGATCAACTCAGGCAAATGCAAATTTCAAAGAATGACTATGAGGACCTGTATACTAGAGTCTAAATCCATGTAAGAAGAAACAAACATTTAGTATAACAGCAGCAACCACTCTCTGTCTCGTCTTGGGTTTGAACCAGGTTGCCCAAATGAAAACTTATTTCCATTTGAGGTCTAGGTGACCTGAAACTTGGATTATCATAAGAAGGCCTTGATTATGCAAAGTAAACATGGTAAATGTCTCCTGTTAGGACAACCAACAAGTTATAAAGGATGACCTGTGTTACACAAACAAAAAAAAAACCCAAAAAAAACACAAACAAGCTGCTTAACAACATCTAGGTACCCTCATAATTAAAAGCATAACATTTCAAATTAGTCCCAGTGTTCATGCTAACTGAAATTCAACCTGTACTATAATTTTCATTAATAAATATCAACCATAATTTGGAATCAACAGTAGCCCAGCAACCAGTAGGGCCAATGGTTTTATGCAAATGAAATTGTTGTCATAATGCTTCCAGCCTAAAATTAACAAAGCTTGGCACCTAAATGTACAGCGTAAGATACTCAACTATTTGAGCAACTCCTAGAATCTTCCAGGATGAAGATTACAATAAATTCTAGTATATACATATAAATTAAAGCTGTTGTCGACATCTAAATACTAAAGATTTTTAACTGATTTGGAGCAGACTGCAAGACAAGCTGTAAATAATTACTTAAATTGTACTAGTTTGTGCTAATATTACATGTACATACATGTATATATCCTCGCTTATCTGCGTCTGACAATTTACACAAAACTCTGTAATAGTCTCATTTTAAAAATGTTTACAAGATAAAACCATTATGGCCCCTATTTTCCCTTAAATATATAAAAAAATAAAATTAAAAATAATGAAAATTTCCCACACACCTGAGACTGGTTGGTAGGGTTTGGGCAAACAGAAATATTTGCAGTCTGTCCTAAAATAGTGATAAATAAATATACACTTCTATAAATTTTGTCCTTTATAATTGTGGTACTTTATTGCAACATCTGTATTCATGCAGTACATGCATATCGATTTGTAATATTCAGATTATGTATCAAGATAAATAATATTATAATAGTCAATAGTGTTCTCCATTACAAATCATATGTCACAAATCATATGATAATATACAAAACAACATTTAAAAGTTTCACATGTAATATATTTATAATAATATATAATTGTAACCTTATATTTAAGAATTGTTTTTTATTTCTAACGCATGATGTGGCATCCCCTATAAATTGTAAAAATAACACATTCAGCAATATTTTGTGGATTTAAGTTTAGAAACTGAGATATAATCATTACACAAATCTTTTAAATCTAAACCATGAGATTGGAAAAAAAAATTAAAAGTTGCCTTAATCTTTATACATGTGTTTGTTATATGTTAGAATCACATGTAGATGTAGGGGTTTAACTTAAAAGTAATATACTGCTTTTGTAAATCTGATGATTACCTGGTTAATTATCAACTGTGAGCTGGAACATACTAATGCAGAGCTCTGGGGGTTTGCATAAATGACGTCTGATGATGATCCAATGTACAAATGTATGTGACCTAAAGGAGTTGAGTTAGTGGCGTGATGAGTCGTTAATCCAGTTCAGTCTGGTGACCCATTTGTAAAAACTGGTGTGTCATTGTTGTCTATGTCTCTGGTCCAACTGTTACAACCCTGGTGGTGTTCTGTGGCAGAGCAAGGTCGCACTTTTTCCTTTCTAACTGATCTTCCCAACATTGTGCTACAACTCAACAAAAAGTAAATATTAGTTCCACCATGCTACAGCATTGACATAACAAAATCAAATGACTGTATAAAGAAACAATAACATAAAAATTTTACCGCTTACGAAATTTAAACAGCTTGCTTGCTGCGATGAAATTCTGTAAAGGACTAAATTACGTCACAGAATATAACGTTACTCATGTTAGGTAAATCTAAAACATGAAACACAATCCGTCAGTGGCCCCAGCGATAACTGAATTTAAGTCTATTTACTTAAATTCCATTTGTTTTATATAACGATTTATCCAACTTATGTCGATCCAATGCATATGACTCCCCGTTGATATATTATCTCCCCTTTTATACATCAATATAGTATATATATATAGTCGACGAACTTTCACATGAATCTTTTTTTTAATTTATTTATATATTTACAGGTATCGTACCATCGAAGGAAAACACCATAGACAACGTGACATCATACTATCCACTCACAGTCCCTTATACCGTATTAACCCTGAAAGTGAAGACATACAGATCACAGTACGATAAAATGACCAAATGTAAGTCATCCAATGAATTTCCTAGATTTTCTTTCTGCAGATTATCGTTATCACTCATGAAACCTAGATTTTATTTAGACATGTTTCATCGATATGATTTTTCATATATAATTCAAAATGCAATTAAAATTCAGGCAATAAAAGGATTAAATACTTAAAGAAGTAATGAAATCTTCACAAACTGTGTTTTTTATTCGCCATGGCGTTGACAGCTCTTCTTCCCATTACTAGTTTTGAATGTATCTTCTACCTATGCTTATGCATCACGTTAGTAGTTGACGCTGTGGCTTTTGTTATCTAATTATGTATCTGATTGCTATACGAGATTTGTAGACGCTTGACCCAAAGCAAGAGAAACCTACACACGGTGGCACCTTGCATGTTGAGAATGTCCGCGCCTTTAATGAACTGAAAACTAAAAAGATCTTTAAAACATTTGATGTTGCTGTCAAGAACTAGTATTTGGTACGCTCCTTTGGATTTAATGACAATTTTGTCTAGACTTTTAAGCAATATATGGATTTCTGAGCGATGTGGTTGCTTGTCAATATTTGGAGTCTTCAAAATGACACGTAAATGTCTGTTTTCCTAAACTTATCTTCATGTTTTCTCAAATTTTGTGATTTACCCAACAGCCCTATTTATTCATAAATGCGATACAAAATACTTCAGTCTTAACTTTATGGGTGAGGATCAAGATGATAAGTGTTAATAATCCCAAGAATTCTTAATTTGAGTTTTCAAGTTCATTCATGAATCCTCAAAAGTCGTTTATACAAAAGTAGGGTTATATAAAATAGCTAATATGCATGTTTATCATTAACTTTTTATGAACGATTTTTTGTTACTTCAAACATTAACTGAAAATAAAAACGTATGTTATGTTACATGCAGATTAGCTTCTTAGCTGAACGGGGTTTAATGTGTGTTGTAGATGCAGAATAATTTATTAGCGATCTGCAGCTTCCCGTTAAATTTACAAAACAAATCCTATTCTGTTGTAACAGATAATTCAAAGGTTCTTTAATTATGACTGGGTATAAAGAAACATTCTGTTCACGTTTTACAAGTTTTGGTATTTCTTGCAGTTTTGCATTAGAAAAAAAAGCCTGAAAGCAAATATGCAAGACAATATTCCAAAGTATGAACATTATTATACTGCATTGTATCTTACATACACATGTCATGTGAAAATCTATATGGATGGTTTTTGATAGATTTATAATAATTGGATTTTTCGAATGAAGGATCAAAACAAAAGGTCACCTTATCATATCTTCTACTTTCGTCTGTATATTTCCAAATTATAGAATTATATGACTATGTAAAAGCCAAGGTTGCAAGTCCCACAGCAAACCTTAACCTTCAAAGCGATTTGTGTTTCGACCCTTTTGTTTTTTGTACTATCCAACAACAAATTATAATTTGGACTTTTTATACTTGATAAAGCCATTTTCTGTAATGTTTTTCTGTTTATAAAATTTTATTTAATCAAAACACTAAGGAATATCTATACCTATAGATGGCCTTTGTCGTGTTTTGCACAATTTTTGGAAATGTTTGGTTTGCAATGCTCTCCAACTTTGTATTTGATTTGACCTTTCAATTGTTTTGATTTGAGTGCCACTGATGAGTCTTATGTCGACGAACTGGCGGAACAAATTATAAGCAATGTAACGTTGATGATGTATTTCCTACAAATGGGTCGGTACCGCTGATTGCATACTATCAATCGCCAAGCGTATCATCAGCCCGTAGCCAGCGCTTTTGTATTGGCATGTTTAAATGATAAGCGTTTTCTGTGGCAACTTCCATTTCACAAATATATATAAGTGTGCTAAGGCGGTGGTTGCAACTACATCAAGAAATAATCTTATCATAGATACCAAGATTAAAACTTTGTACGCCAGACGCGCGTTTCGTCTACAAAAGGCTCATCAGTGACACTCTAATCAAAAATGGGCAAATAAAGTACGAGGATGAATTGCATTGAGGACAAAAAAGTTGACCTAAGATCGTTTGATAATTAGATTGTTTTTCATGCTCCCCAAACTTAAGTATGTCTTGCTTTCTGAAACTTTTGTCTCAATCGTTACCTAATGGATATTGTTCGAGACAAAAATCTAGTAGGCATGAAATATAGTTTATTTTATCATTTACAATTAGATATGTGTACGTCCTTATTCATTTTTTGTATATCTTGAAACTTTACTTCTATTTGCCTTATTTCAGTAATGGAACTATTAATTAAGAACGATATCCACGTAGTTATAGGACCCTTTGAAGACTCAATCGCTGTTGTTACAGAAAAATTAGAAATTCCTTATTTAGCTTTGACTTCTGACCAAAATGGACGACGACTTCGATCAACATTCCAACTACTACCTAGATTATCAGACTTTAGTTCAGCCATGTTAGATTTAATACGCCATTACGAGTGGGATAAAGTTAGCCTGTTCTATGATGATGACCGAGGTAAGCTGTTTACAGACCATATTGTTTTATACACAGAAAACACATTGTCTACGAAATGCTTGGGAATTAACATAAATTAGCCAAAATTCGCTTTATCTTTTATGGTTACATTCATTGTTCCCATCAAATACTTGCATGAGGTGATTGATTTTCACAGTACAATATTGAAGGATGTTTGAACATCGAAATTTGATAAATATTTTTAAAAGAATCCTATTATTGGTTTATTGGTTGAAAAATGTGTAGAAAAGATGAGTATATCATCCACGGTCAATTTTAAACAAAGCTATGATAAAACAAGCTAAAGAAATACAGAAATGATGTTTTTCACTCTTTTAGTCTTTTAACATGTGTCGTGAGCTCGGATGTCGGTATCAATGCTTCTTTTAAAATTAATCACGGGAAAATTTTAAATCATATATTGTTTGCGAAAGAGATGCGGAGGTCATGTATATTAACATCTAGAAACGATAATAATAATGTATTCACTTAATTTCTTAGGATTGCCGTCTGGGCTATTAAAGATATAGGTGTAATTCATCATGATGAATTATACTGAGCAGTTGTAAGGGTCATCCAAGTCATTACGACTTTACAGCAAGTCGTTAGGGTGCTTTGATAATTTAATTATAACTTAAGTTCTACGACCTATTAACAAATGTATTATTCTTAGAGCATGTAGTGCAAACAAATAAATATTTATGGTTACTGTATGATGTCAGAAAGTAAATATCTCATGGGTCATTATTACGCTATCGGAAAAATAATACAAAATGCATGACGTCATGTACACTGATGATGTCACAAAGAATGCTATATGTATGAAGTAACTTAAAAAAATACACCTTATCGCTATTTGTCCGCCATTACTGGACATCACAAATGTTCCCGTAAAATTTTGAAGTCATAATAGAAAACATGTGACGCCACAATGGAAAAGTGATTGTTGTATAACATCAATAGTCCAAGAGGCGCAGTTTCTCGGGTCAAGCGGCGCAGATTTCCAAATAGCGATAAGGTCTATGATACCAGTCATTTTTTTTTTCAAATTCACTTGTGCTGTGTGTTGATGTCGCATTCACATATATTCGAAACTAGCATTTATCATCTTTCTTACAATGGCATAATTATTGTTTTTAAAGTTTTATAGCTAAATGTTATTGTAACCGCTACTTTTTTATGCGAGTTGAACTATTCAAATGTTCGTTGTCAGTCGTGCCTTTGAATGTGGCATTTCAATGTTTATCAGATACTAGTACATCATTAGAAAAATTAGCCCCTGTGTACGTGTTTCCGATATCCCTCATTATTCCATTACCTATAGTCCATGAGATTTCTGTAATGACAATATTTTTGTATATTTTCAGGAGTAGACATGCTTGAAAAACTACTTTCAAATCATGATTTGATGGTAAAATCATGGCGTGTTGATTCTGTAGGATCAGACGAACAGATCCGAGACCATCTTGTTCATATGAGGATTGCATTTATTCAAACCAGTATTATTTTTTGTAACAGAAATAACACATATCAGATTTTGGATCAGGTAAACATAAACTACCAGTGTCAGTATTTTTATCCATAATGATTTGCTTAGAATATTGTAGACAGTGGCAACACCATTTTGAAATTTGATCAGAGTTTTTAACTGACTACCTTTAAGGTTTATATACTACTCAAAGAAAGATATGCAACCCTTCCACTGAGATTTATGGGGGGACACACTTTGAGGGGTCATATCTTTGTAGAAAATGCTCAAACAGATTTGAAATTAACAGAAATCCTGTTTTAAAGGATGTTGATTTGATTAAAGAAGAAAACTTAAGAATTATGGTGAAAATTTGAAGGGTAAAAAAGAATCCCGCCCATTATTTATTTTAAAATTGTTTGCAAGGTTATGTTAGTTTCTGTTCATATGTAATTAATCATGCCATCAGATTCACCACTTCGTCGATTTAGTGCATTGCATGCATTTGTTTTAACTAGACCATGTGCAAAAATTGTTAAAAAAGTGACTTTCAATTTTGACCCCTTCCATCAAAGTTTGCGAAAAGTGTAACTGTCTGAAATTTGACCAACAAAACTGTAGTACTTTTGAATACGCAAAGGATTGAAAATTAAGACACCACAACTTTTAAAGGTGAATCGAGATAAATGATGTACCATTTTACCTTGTTATTACAAACGGAACACTAAAAAAATACATTCATAGAAAATCTGTTTTTCGTATTGTACGACATTAAAAGGTTTCATGGAGAGATAAACTGAGCCAGAAACTAATATCGAATGAAAAGTTACTAAAGTAAACGTCTGGATATTTACTACTTCTGAACAGATTCCTAATATATCAATCAATCTATCAATACAAGTATCGAATTCCTATCATAGACATAACATTTGTACGTTTGTCTAATGAAAGAGAAGAAATTTATCATAGTTTAGATCATGACTTCAACTTGGTTTGTTCATTTTGTAATGCTAGTAGTACTGTCTTAGACTTATTTAAAGAAATGATCCACATTTTCATGTTTATTTCTATATCCAATATTTTTTCTTCAAACGTTCTTGAAGTGTCCTTGAAACAATTATAGTGGAAACTGTTATCAGGCACACCACAACTGATTATCTAACATTACTCTTAATTCCACACAACCTTACCTTACTGAAGTCCGATAAACTCATTAATGTTCATTTTAATTTCAAACTTTGAAACTTTAATCAGATTTCTTAGAATTGTTGGTAAAATGCAATAGATAAAATTGTAGAAGACGTCAAATCCTTTCTTTCAGATGTAAGAACAAATTGCTTTTATGTCTTATTAATTTTATTGACGAGCGTAGATTGGTAGATTACCATACTAACAACACAAGCGTTAGCATTTAAGTGTGTTTATGTGTCTTGAACAAATCCTGCCTGTCTCATTTATTTCTTAAATTAAGTTTGAAGCCCCATATTAACGCAGAAAATTTCTGTAATTTGGGTAAATGGATTGCTATATTTTATTGGCCACATGGTACTTTCCCTACATTTGCACAGTATGTAAGAAGACCAAGCCTTCTGAAGTACAATAACAAGGACAATCAATAGCCTCCTGGTCATTAACTGGAGATATCTTCTAGTATCATTCAGATTGTTTCTTATTGCAATGTATTTTCGCATCTTTTATCTTTAATTATAATTTTTTTTTAAAGAAAATGAAACGAAAGGAAATCATATCAAATTATTTACGTTAGTTTTTATTTCAAGGTGTAAAAGTAGCAGCAGTTTCAAATAAATAAAACAATTTTACCCAGAAAAACACCTGGTATATGCTATAACTAGCTTATTGTTTATATGACATACTAGAAAATCCTTTATCTGATTTAAACAGAAACCTTCATTCAGTTTTGTTTTCAAATGAGGCTGCATATATGAATATATTTTATCAATAAAACCCAGGTTTAGATCAAGCAAATAACCATTTTATCCTAAGTAAATTTAAGATATCTACAGACAACGTAAATATAATTTAATTATAGGCACGGGCTTTTCAATGTGATAACAATAAAAAGATATATGTTGGTGAAGTTTTAACCTCGTTATTTATGTCTCCAATCCTAACAATTAGATAAAAACAACATAGTCTTTCTTCCTTTTGAGACTTTTGTAGAGTGTAACCATACATCACTGTGTAATTTGTCTCACTAATATGGCACAATACGTCCATATGAGAATTGTTTCCAGCAACAGCAGCCAATTTAGTTTCATTTTAGCGTCTTACTAAAACATCCTTAAAGAAATTACATCAGCTGATTATTTGTACTACTTAAGGTATTTCCTGGAATGTGTCACTTAAAATGTGAGAATTGGATTACGATGTATTATGTATAATCTTGTGAAGAAATGAATTGCACTTTGTTTCATTTATCTTTGAAAGCGTTTAAAGGTCAAATTACAAATTGCTTAATATTGTTCTCTTTCGTGACATACATTCATAAATTTTGCACATTCAGCTTTTTTCATTAGATTGTATACATATGATTACAATGTTTTTTTTTATTCTCAAGGCGAGAAGTCTTGCTATGATGTCAATACCTTATGAGTGGTTCTTTTACGATCCTGTAAGTCTTATTTGATACTTGTTCATATTTTTATTTTTAAACGATCCTTTTGAACAGTGAAGATACATGTAATATGACGGATGCCAACAGTTGGACATGAACTGATATTTACTGTTCGTGTTTGCTTCGTGTTGCTCGAAGTTGCTTGTGTTTTCTTTGTAGTGCTTATGGGACTTTTCTTTACGAAATGTTGTTTATTTTGTTACGAATAACCGTTAGACGCGTAAAATAAATGTCATCAAAGCTGAACAATTGGTAATATCGAACGTCTGAAGTTTTGAAGTTGTATATATATATAAATATCCATATATAGACATATCAATGAAATGAGATGAATGGGAAGATTATTGAAACAACATACAACGAAATCAGACAAAAACCACTAGACCTAAAAGTCAATATACGGGACGTTCCCGTTCTTATTGTTTATTTTCTTTGATGCTGGTTCGCCAGTTGGTTCAATGTGTGCGTATTTTTAATGATGGCTACGATTTCAATAAGCGTAATAGTTTTGTAACTTAATAATTTTACAATATGAATATAGATATACTAAATTGTTTAAAACATGTCAATACATTTTATCACAAATGTAGAATTTAATTATGGAAGCATGAATCCATTTGCCGGAATTTAATACAATGTAGTTTTTCGTAAACAGCATTGTACGGTTATAATATTAATAAAGCTAACATGTTTAAGAATTGTTCTTGAAATCTTTTTTTTTTTGGAGAGAAAAGACACCAAAACGATTGTTATTATACTATTGATGTTCGATCACTACCTTTGGTATTTTTTTTGTTTTCGTTTAAAAACATAAATTCACTAATTTATAGTTTGAATTACTTCTTAAACTTTTCATTTGTTTCACTGCATTGACATTTTGTTCAGTTAGCTGTTGGCATTGCACGAGATCGTATCATTCAAATACAGGAAGTGATTCGTTACCAAGGTTGAATTATATTGATAATTTAAGGAAAAAAAACAGACAACAGTATAAAAAGTGAAGAAGAAAAAAACACGTTATAAATTTCATGCGTCCGAATCGCTTTTCTGGATTTACCTTCATCAGGAACGCTCAAAGCCCTTTATTTGAATAATGACATAAGGTAGTAAACGAAATTCACTCAACTAATGAAATGCCACTTTTTATCTAAATCATGCAGGCAACACAATCATATGTGTATCTAATTATATACAGTAGGGTTGTGTGACACGGCTACTACATGTATATAACTTCTGTATTTTAAGACCTGATTATTTCATTTACAAACTTGTACTAAATAACATGAAACCTATTTCTTCAGGGCGACCAGCTAGTAGATATTTTCAAAGGATTTGAGGATATAACGTTTAATTACACCGTCTTTAGCTTGATGGAGTTTAACAGTCACGTGTATGGTGTAAAGCATCCTGAGGAAAAATTAGACGTTGCCTTAACCACTGACGCTTTGTATATCATTAACCAAACTGTGCCAAGGTTAGATAATAACACTGTGCAAGGAATCAGAAAGGATATGATTAATATCCTTAAACAGGTAAATGAATGACAATTCCAAAAAACTAAGAGAGCTACAAGAAAGTAAAAAAATATCTCTTTGACTATCCTACCATTCAATTCTTATTCTCATAAAGAGTAATAACTGAAATAAATATTTAAGTAAATATATACGTATGTTCAATGTAATATTGATAGCTTAGGTCTATGTTTTGAGGTACAAATGTCGCCTTTTCTCTTAAAATAAATATCTGATGGATAATGATTTAGAAAAAAAAAACAAATCGCAAAATCTCTATATAAGGTATCACATCACTATATCAATTTTTCATGAATATAGAACAATCTTAAACTTCATCCAGTTTTATATGTTGAGACCATGTTACCCGCAACTACGTCGTAGAAGTCTTGATACTTGGAACTGAGAGGACATTTATTTCAAAGAAACCAGTTTTCTTAATATGCAATAAACCACGTGATTTAAATTACGTAACGTCCTAATAACTATTAAGACTTGTTAGGAAGCTTTTGAAATTAACTTCTACTAAAGGACACACCATAGTGATGCAATAACAGCAGACAATTTAAAGGGATAAACCAAACAAATCTAATAAAGATATCAGTTTCAGTAATAATCTAATTACACATATCATTAGAAGTGCGTTCTGCATTAAAGCTTCTGCTGTCGCTGATGACGATAATTACAAAACAAAATTACACTCGATAGAAAGCTATGTGCACCTTGAGAAAAAATAAAAATTCTGCTAATCAGAATGTACTTCAATGCGACATCATATCTATAATAGGGAAATAGCTGTAATTTACACAAGTAACGCCATGTAATACAGACATTGTCATTCAATCACTGTAATATAAATGCATTATTTTTTTAGGAAACCTTTGAAGGAGTAACAGGCCACATTGCATTTAATAATGATGGAAAACGTTTCAATTTTACTATATTACTAACAGAGGTTTCCGTTTATAAAAATCGCTTAAAAGAGGTATGTAATTTGATTTGTACAGGATAAATTGACTTTCGAATGAACACTATGAAGGATACACTCTTGTTTACGAACGGAATTAATAAGGTGTTATTTTTATTTCATGTCGACCATATTGTTTTGATTTAAAAACATTAAAACAAAATTGAAGTGTTCTACAGCTTTTGTTTTTATAATTTTGTGTAATACGTCTTACACTACGTCCCTGAAAAATCAAGTAAGTTACGCCTTATAATTTCTGAACATGAAAGCATCTCTATACAATTTATTTTATAAATCAACTCATTTGTCCGAACAACTTTTGGTATGCTTATATCTTAAAAACAAGCGCACCTACATATATTTTCACTGACTTCAATATTACTTCTTTTCGAATGTCTTTCGATAATTAACAACTATTGTATTCATCCGTTTGAAAAGTAAACATATATATTGTTCTAAAAGTACAATTAGGGGAGTAAAATTGTTTTTTACATCTGAATATAGATTCGAAAATCTCAAAATAAAGCAAATCTGGTATTGAGTTCTGAAATGCAATGATTTGGACGGTCTTTACCAATTACTTCAGGAAAAATTCAGTTGTAATATCACTACCAGAAAAAAACGTCCTTGAGCATTATGTAAGAAGGTATATGATAGATTCGTCATATCAAATGCTTTTCTTATTGTGATAAAGATGTATTATTAGTATTATGTAGCATAGCACTACAACAAAGTCCTGAATAGTAATCTATATTTGTAATTCCTTTTAACTTTAGTTTTGTAAAAACTACAGAGCTTTTTTTTTTTAGACAAATTATATTTTTTAAACTGGTCTTCAATTCCATATATACTATATAGTAAAAGACAATAGTAGTTTGTCGATGTTCGTTTAATAAAAATTCCTTTTATGCATAATTATTACAATATTTGTATTGCAAAACGTTATATTACGATAGTATTAAATGCCATAATTTGCATTGCTATTATCCAGATGTCGTTATTCATTGTATTGTTAGTAAACTTGGAAGAACCCATGGTTATACTTGTATATGATGTGGTTATCGATGTGTTGTGTGTGTTAATGTTATTTATTATACTTCATGTCAAAATGTCAGATTTTGATTGGTTAATATGAGGTAGATAATTTATTCTATCCTATGGTAAATACACTATTACCCTTCACAGAGACGCTTGATCAATTGTGCGCTTTATTAAATACGAATGTTTGTTATGTACGAGACGTCATAGTTTATTACTTTGAATTAAAGAAATTAATAGACAGTAAAAACAGAACATTCAGTACAGTAAATTGAATAACACATAGATGAGAGGGTGATAGAGCAGATTATTACCCCTCGAAAAGACATTGTCACCCTTGGCTTCGCCGCGGTTGACAATGTTTTCTCGGGGTAAGAATTTGCTCTATCAGCCTCTCAGCTATGTGTTATTTATATATTGACGATATAATAATACTAAATAAGGCATGTTCCATTTAAATACTGTAGTTCAGTTTGTTTATTTCGTCTTTTATCAAAATTGTTGCATCTCAGTGTACTCAAATAATTTCTCATAAAGATATAGCAAAGCCACATGGAGCAAGTTGTAAATGTTACTTCATTTAGAATGATTGCTTACGCCAAATATTGTTTTCGTTATCATGGTGTGCACGAATTAATGTTTAGTTTTTTCCGGTATTCAAGTCCTCTTACTTTAAAAAGGGAAGAATTAACCATTTTGAACTTTACTTAAAGAAACAACTTCTAGAAAATGTATTTACCATATAAATATATTTTACAAACGTTTCGATTTGACGTCTCATTTTCTTAAACAAAATGTTTCAGATTTGACAGCATTTTTCAAGAAGTACTAAAATCTGAACATTTCACGTAAAAGGAAAAAGCCTTAATTGTACATAAATTAGATAAAGTCAAGAAACACAACATACAAATCAACAAATGGTAATTGAATTACGTAGAGTTTTTAAATGATACTTTGCAGAATAATAAGAAAGGTCAAGAAGATTCATTTGAGATCTGATATTCTCGATTCAAATGTGAAATTCCCACCTTTATTCAAAATTCGTTACCTGAATCGCAAAATCAAAAAAGTTAAAGGCCAAATAAAGAACGAAGTTGAAGGGCATTGCGGAACAAATAACCCGAAAAGTTTTGCCAACTACAGAAGTAAACTTTAACAAACTATATTTATCACAGTCAATGAATCGTTTACCTCAAATGCCTTCGATAAGATGTTAGTCTGTTTCGGATATAATAAGCTGTAAGATGTCGAGAGCTGACAGCACAATATCATCAATATGACAAGGAATGACAAAAAATACATACATTATTTTTTTCATAATTTACAACATTTTCAAAAATATATATGTGCAATTTGAGTAAACTCTTCGCTGTAATGATGTTCTACCTTTTGTAATGTTAAAGATGTGGTTTTGATGAAAAATAATATACATCTTTTTGTAACCCCGAAAATGCTTCATATAAACAACGGCTGTCTAGGAGCTTTCTTTACTTAAACAGTTTTATTGACTATAATATATCTTTGCAACAAATATCTCTTCTGATTCTCTTTCTCGAATATTATTTCTAATTTCAAACTTAAAGATGGAATTCAAAATCTATAATTTCAAACTTAAGACTCGGATTTTTTTTTATATTGAATAAAGGATCTCAAATAATCCCTGTGGTCTTTCATAGGTTAATTCACGTATATTTTCAAAATAAACAAAGGTTTTTAACAGATACGGGTCCATCCAACATCGGGTAACTATGATTAGTTGCACTTTATTTCATATGCAGTTTATATTTGTTTCTCTTATTTGTTCATTATTGCTTTGGTCGTCTGTATAAGTTTTTACTGAATAGAGTAGATACAACCAATTTAGATAATTATAGTAGCACCAAATAGTATTAACGATTAAGTTACATGTTTTCGTGTCGTATGAAGCAACAGAAAGCGTGAACGGTAAATGAAATTATCAATGACCCATCGAAAAGTTTTCAAAACAGAATTCACTTAAAAACAACGACATCACCAAAGTTAAAGCTTTGTCATTTATAAAAACGCGAACAACGAAAACTGAAAATTGGACATATTTCTAGTTTTATTGAAAGGAAATTGTGTTGTACGTGAATATTATTTCACAAATTATAATTGAAAACGCAGACAAATAACAAATTTGTAAATTTTATAGCCACAAAGGGATAAAAACGAAAAAAAGATATTATTAAGCTGACTAATTAAAAACCTCATGTATAATCAAACACATGTTCGAATTACACATGTGCCGATATTGTAAGCGATATTTTGATATACTTTTTTCACACACGTACCTATATTTAAAGTTATTTTTATTTAATTTATCGGTTTTGTGTTCAGTTTTCAGTTCTTTTTTTAGCTTTTATTTGGTGTATTCCTTTTCATTTATTTTTTTTTGTTATTATATTTGTGACTGAACATATTTGAATTGCTGTGGTGTGTAATGTTGTTAACATTTTGTTCAATTCTATTGTATCAGTTGGTTTTGCTTTGCTGTGGCACACCCATGTAATACATCGTTCAACAACCGTAGACTTAGAGCGTTTGAAGACATAAGAATATCTTAACTCTCCGATTACAGAATACATAATTATTTTTTGTATCAGAAAAATCTATCATTTCATCTACAAGTAGTTGCTTGTTTTAGAGTCAAAAGTTTTAGACGTCAAACTTGACGGTTTACGTGCTGTTGAATAACCATGAATATGTGCTTTTGTGTGTCAAATGAGGAATACTGTTATTCTATTTATCGAGTTAAGGATCTTCAACAACATGTGCAAATATCTATTTCATACGACGAGAAAAAGACTGATCATAATGTACGCTAGAAAAATATTTTTAAAAGGCGAAAGATAACATAGGGACAATCAAATCTCATAAATTGATGAGAGACCGACAAAACCATGGCAACAAATGAAAAACGACAGAAGGACAAAGAGTCTAGAAAACACAAGTACATAAAACACTGTAAGAAAGACCAAGTTTTATCAAAGATCATGGGGAAGGGACAACCATTTGTCAACAAAACACCGCATCTTAAACTGATCATTGAGTAACATGAACCCCATCAACAATCAGGGGATGGTAATAATCAATAGTCTTTCATTAGGAACTTAGGTCATATTCAATCGTAATGTTTCAATTTGTTATATGTAATAGATAAGAAATTCATAAGCCATCGGTACACGTTAATTGTTTACCTCTAATACCTCGAATTAAACAATTTTATTATGAGTACATAGCGTTTTGTACTACAAAGAATAATGCATAAAAAGTCACTTACCGAAAGGAAACAAAGGAAAATCAAAGAAAAGTAAATTCCTCAAATTTAAACATAACAAACTATTGCATGAACCATCCCCTCCTTAAAAATGTGGGAAGTAGAAGCGAACTGGGGGTAACTCTTGGTGCTCTGAAACAGTACGTAGTTTTTGCTCTATAAGTAAGTGTGATTTGATACTAGCTGCGCATACCAAGTAAACATTGCTTTTGTTGACATATCATCAACAAAGAAAGAATGATGACATTATGGCTACGACAAGTACGATATACTTATATGCATCTGTAACTGTTAAGTCCGTGAAGTCCGAGGATTGATATCGTATTACTATTAAGCAATGATAATATGCTGTTTTATTCTTTTACATCTGGTGATTGGTTCACATGACCAATGATTTGATAAAACGACGAGCAAATGAAAATAGACATAATCATTTATTAATATCAATGCTCATTTATTTAAAGTCTATATTTGGAGATACCGAAGAAGTCAATGTATATACCAATGACGATACTACTAAGCCAGATACAGATTATAGGAAGAAAGATTTGATGTTTGAGACTCTTAAGGTAACTATTCTTTTCGCTTCTAACATGATGTATAACCTTTTCATTTTCAAATATTTCGTTGTTAGATGTTGATGTTTTTTTAACTAAGGTTCCAACTCCAAAAAAACAAAGTTATGGTATTGGCTATTCTTTCATTGTTCATTTTAGTCATAATGCTCTTCTGATATTTATAAACCCTTGATCCTCGATTGTTTTGGTTTTGCATGTTCTTAAGGAAGGTAAATTCCTTTTTATATCACTATATTTCTACTAAATCAGGAACATTATTCTGGTCATAATAATCAAATTCCTCAAATTTTAACATAACAAACTATGGCATGAACCATCCCCTCCTCAAAAATGTGGGAAGTAGAAGCGAACTGGGGGTAACTCTTGGAGCTCTGAAACAGTACGTAGTTTTTGCTCTATAAGTAAGTGTGATTTGATACTAGCTGCGCATACCAAGTAAACATTGCTTATTTTTCTCATTTACAAAATCTGTACCTATGGCAATGAATGATTTTCTTGAGGAATTAGCAATAAAATAGAAAAAGAAAGGATATGGGGTATCCATCCATGACACAAAATCAGTACATGCACAGTAAAAAACACACAAAAAAGCAAAGGAACAGCACTTTTATTGCTGTTCTTCATCTCAAAGTCACAGTGAGGCCTTCAACACAGAGTGAAAAAACTCTCACCTTACGGCAAGTTTAAGAAGGCTCCTAGCACCGGTTTAAGCGGAATTATTTGCAAAATGATTCGGATAGACATTGTAAGATGTATAACCACCAAATCGGGACCGGTCAAAAAAATAGAACATATTGGAAAGTAGTACATATTTAAAACAAAACAGTTCCTACGCATAGATGTAATTATATAAGACTATACAATAGATATAAGAAGATGTGGTATGAGTGACAATGAGACAACTCTCCATCCAAGTAAAAATTTATAAAAGTAAACCATTATAGGTCACAGTACGGTCTTCAACACGGAGCCTTGGCTCACACCGAACAGTAAGCTATAAAGGGCCCCAAAAAATTACTAGTGTAAAACCATTCAAACGGGAAAACCAACGGTCTAATCTATATAAAAACGAGAAACGAGAAACACTTATGAACCACATCAACAAACGACAACTACTGAACATCAGATTCCTGACTTAGGACAGGTGCAAACAAATGCAGCGGGTTTAAACGTTTTAATGATACCAAACCTTCACCCTTTTTCTGAAACAATAGTGTAACATCACAACATAGAAAGACACACTATAAAATATCAACTGAAATAGCTTAACTCAATCAAAGGACATATTAACACCATTGAACATACACTGAACAAATAAATTTGACCTATGACACAATGTAAATACAAAATAAATAAACTAAGAGAAGAATAATAAAAGTAACATGTTATATCGGTAAGAAATGTTCAACAATTAAAGAAAAACAATATGCTCGAACAAAAAATACCATCCATTTGCAAAAACTTTAAACACAGGTAAATGAAAATAATTTTGTTGATAGGTATACCTGTACAGTACCAATAGAGAAAGGAAATATTTTTACAAAGTAAATAATTTTGAATACAAAATAAATAAACTAAGGGAAGAATAATAAAAGTAACATGTTATATCGGTAAGAAATGTTAAACAATTAAAGAAAAACAATATGCTCGAACAAAAATACCATCCATTTGCAATAACTTTAAACACAGGTAAATGAAAATAATTTTGTTTTCATGTATACGTGTACAGTACCAATAGAGAAAGAAAATATTATTACAAAATAAATAATTTTGATGTTCACAGTACGAAGTAAAAATTTATAGTTATACCAAACACTTATAAAAGCTGGTATATAGACCAGATATAACCCTTAAACATTAAATAACAAAAAAGCAATACAATTAGTATCAACAGGTCAAATAAACAAGAAAGTACGATTTGAGAGTACTCGCAGTTACTGACAGCTAGTCACTTATTCAAGTCCACTTATTAGAAACATAAAAAGCTGTAGTTTTCTTATTTTAAGAAGCAGCATAGAAATGCGTCGTCATTTTTGTTCAATTTCAGAGGGCCAGTATTCAGATATTAAAAAAATTCTGTACTTGAATATCGTTCTGTTGCTTAAAATTCAGAGAAGATAATAGGTGTTATCACAAAAAAAAATGTAAGTTGTTGCGTTCAACATTCATTTAACAGTCAAAACAGATATAAAAACAACAACAAATTAAATTCAAATATTTTACCAATAGAAAAGTAATCGCGTATTGAAAGAATTATAGTACTACATTATATGAAAGGAACGAAGAAGTAAAGACAATCATGTTCTATCCTCGACAAACATTGTCCCGATAATAGGGCACAAAATATTCAAAAGTTAACAAAATTTCATTCTAACAGTATGTTTGTAACGTTGGGATGAAGTATCATTGCTGTATTACCGACATCTTCTTAGATTTATAATTGTTGATATTTTTATAGATTATAAACTAATGATTTAGAATAAATTGTATAAACATTATAAATCACAAATCAAAGGTGCAATTTATTCGGCTATTAATAGTTACCATATTTTAAATAATATATCAAAAAACCTATTTATCAGATTGGTCGATGGGTTTCTTACAAGGATGGATTGTTTCTTCCGAGACTTCAAATGACTGAGAACATTGAAAGAGGAAATAAAACTACACCGTTTCCTTTGAGGGGAAGAAAAGCAAGAATAGTCATGATTGAGGTGAGTGGGAATTGTCTTGAGTAATCAATGCTATCTTTATAGTGATTATATGAACTACTGACAAGAGAATGTAACTTATGAATAAAAGTATTAAATTAGTATTGGCATAAATGCAACACATGTAAAAGTTATATTCAGATTTTTATCAGTATGTATTCATTATTCTTTAGTTATTCAATACGCATGCTGTCGTTTTAGACTTCTTTCGTACAAAACAAATGCCTTTTTTATTAATAAGTATTGATGTTTAAGTAAGATCAAAGATATGTTTATTGATATAGTAACAGTGATTTCAAATGATAGTGCCAATTTTCACTGTATTTTTTTCACTCGTATTGTCAAAATCAGGAAGTGGATAAAACATAGTACTACATTGAATATTAAAAAGTTTTGGTGATATGCTGATTTGAATTTAACAAATTTCCATAGATTAAAATTGTATTGAGCTCTAAACTTTATTGAAGACAATTTTAAAAAATTCATGTTTTCGTACAATTTTGCATCAAAGAACATCTTTTAGATACAGCAAGTGTACATTTGACATGCGTTAAAAGTTGAGTTATTTAGACATTTCCTAATTAATAAAATTCATTTTGTTAACTTTGATAGATTCCGGATTTAAAAAGGATCACGAAAGATACCAGGCAAATAGCTGTCTTCTTATTCATATCGTCTTAAACATGCATGAAATATTTGCCACTGGACGTTAAACAACCAACAATCAATCAATCTTATTCATATTTAGTTACATAAAATTTCAAATATCGAATTTCACAGTCAGATTTGGCATCTTGAATTTTGAAATCAGATATTGAATTTCGAATATAACCAATTGCTCAGTTTAGATCTTTATATGTGTGTTTCCAATCAGAAATTTTTTCTTGGCCTTCGTACAAAAAGGTTTAGATAATCTTATAAGCTACAAATGGTGATTGGCAATTTAAAGTAAGCATTACAAACACTAATGTTTTCAAGAATAATATCTATGAAAAACAAAAAGTAGATTCGGACTTCTTTTAAACTGAGTTTTACTGTGCGTATTGCTATGTGTTTCTTTATCATACATTGGCTAGAGGTATAGAGGGAGGGTTGAGATCTCACAAAACATGTTTAACCCCGCCGCATTTTTGAGCCTGGCCCAAGTCAGGAGCCTCTGGCCTTTGTTAGTCTAGTATGTTTTTTTAATTTTAGTTCATTTATATGTTTTGGAGTTTAGTGTGACGTCCATTTTCACTGATCTAGCACACAATTTTATTTAGGGGCCAGCTGAGGACCACCTCCGGGTGCGGGATTTTCTCGCTGCGTTGAAGACCCATTGGTGGCCTTCGGCTGTTGTCTGCTCTATGGTCGGGTTGTTGTCTCTTTGACATATTCCCCATTTCCATTCTCAATTTTATTAGGTGACAGTAGTTTACCGATGTTCAAATCTCATAAATCCACTATGAAGATTCAAATCAATGTAACAAACATAAACTCATAAAATTGCACGAACCCGAACAAAATTAAAAACAGCAGATGTCCAATAGTTGTTTAAGGTTAAAAAGCAATTAATTCTCTAGACTTGATGCTGAGATCAAAATATTAACAATTTATGGGCGGAGGCATATTTGATTTATTTCTATGTTTGTTTGAATCTTTAAGTCGGTTATGTTAGTATGTTTTTGGTGTATGTTACATTGGAGTTCTGTATGTTACATTGGAGTTTTGTATTTTTGTTAATACTTTTTTATACAGTTTTGGCTGCTTTATTTAAGTATTGTCATGTTTACCAATTATGTTTGTTTAGGTTGCTTGCCCAATTTTGTCAATACAACGGAACTATAAACAACTGGCATAAGTGGAAGGTTAAGCCAGTTATGACAACAGGTTTAACCTCTATTTTCTTCAAACGACAGGAATATGACAGTTGCTTAGCATTCGCTATCGTTGGTTGATATAGTCGAGCGTTTGATTTGTTAGGTTTTATGGACGTCCTTTATTTTTAATTTACCCTGTACTTCGGTAATTTCATTGATCCCTTTTTCAATAGATTCAGTGTCTAAACAAGGTCTTCAAAGATATATTCCAGGAAAAAACCTGTCTTCAAATTCGTAATAAATATTCATTTATCGAAAGACAAATATTCTCCTTTATTTCTTTTGATTTTGCTTAGAGGTTCGAGAGAGAAAGGGGTGTTCGCAGAAACATTTTCAAGTCTTAGACATGTAACAAGAATAATTTAGCTTGTATTTATAATCTTTACAGGAAAAACCATTCACCATGCACAAAAAGGACCATGAAAAATATAGCGGCAATGAAAGATTTGAGGGCTATTCGGTTGACCTTATTACAGAAATAGCTAATATGTTGGACTTTGAATTTGAAATATACCTTGTTCATGATGGAAAGTTCGGGACAAAAGAAAAAAATGGTGAATGGAACGGGATGCTTGGAGAACTTTTAAAGGGGGTGTGTATTATAGTTTACTGATATTCAGTTTGACAGTTAGGTTTGTCTATAGTATGCGGCTATTTTATAGTATTTGTTCGAATATTTCTTTTAGATGAAATTATAATGTGTCGCATCTGAAGCGCTTTTCTTGATAACCTTCATGAGAACGCTAAAAAATGTAAAGCTAAGATGTAATTATGCATACTTGAATACTTCGGGGTTGCTTGAAAGGTCATAAAACCTTTAAACTTTCAAATCATCTGTGTATATATGCTTATACTATTTTTGAAAGGAATTGAAACACATGCATGTGCAGAAAGGTTTTAAATTACTAGCTATTAGCTTGTGGTGTCCGGGAAGTCAAAACAGATATCTCTAATAATGAGTAATGAGGCCTGTTTTAATTTAATTTGAAATTGAGTATTAACTCGGGAATTTTTTCCTTAGTTGTAAGAAAATATTGTAGTGAAAGCCAATTTATTCTCCGGCGAGTATATTTGCATTAGAAGCACCAGATATTAATTTACCAATATTGAATTGAAATTAAAATATATTTATAGAATGTTCAATTTAGCTTTATCTGAATCAATTGACACTATGTACACAGTTGTGACCTAATCGTACATAGCATGTCTAGTCGGATAGAATGTTTTTATTTCCATAAACACACTGAAGAAAGTGAATCGTTAGATTCGGGGTAACTTACTATAAATTTCTCTAATTTTCATGCTTTTTTCACATTTCTCGATCGGTGTGAGAAAAACATTTCTTTTCTCTAGTGAAACCTTTGTTCTCGACACATGATTGGTCGAAATTCAATTATGATGTCAAATTTTCTATTGTGACGTCATGAAAAAAGGCGACTATGTCTGATGACGTCACATAAATAGAACTTTCTGCAAATCTTTGAAAAGGAAGGATAAACTTTGTTAAGATATCGTCTAAAAATCATTAGAGAACAGATTCCACCACTTTGCCTCGTGTATTACGAGTTAAATTTTAATATTAAAAATTTTAATATTAAAATTTAACTGTCTCGAGTGGAGAAATATCATCGTAACACACTTGATGTAGTGGTGGAATCTATATTTCTCATTTATTATAATCATTGAGTAAAAGTAAGAAGAATTGCGATGATCATAAAATCAAATATGTACAGTAAGCAATAATATAATTTGCTTGTTATAATTCATATTTAATCAAAGCCGCGAACCGAACGTCCAAAATATATTTACGATGGGATCATTATACATGACATAAAACGATTAGGCCACTATTTACATAACATTGAATTTGACATAAAAATGACATAACTAGTTAGTTTTTCTGTTTCAGAATGCTACAATGTCTGTGGCTCCTCTTAGTATCAACTCTCTAAGGGAAGAAGCTGTAGATTTTACAAAACCATTCATGACTAGATACATCAGCGTGTTAATGAAAGTGCCAATGTCAGAAAGATCATATTTTGAATTTTTAAATCCTTTACATCCCTTAGTATGGTTCTGTACTTTCGGTGCGTTCGTAGTTGTAAGTCTTGTACTCTATATGTTTGAAAAGGTTGGAGCATCACATAGTAAAGACTTGCCAGGCATATCCTTTAAAGAAAGTTTTTGGTTTGTGTTTGGATCATTACTTCAGGGTAGCACAGAAGCTTCACCATCAACACTCCCAGGACGAATACTTACAAGCGCTTGGTGGTTTTTTGCTTTGATTTTAATTTCTTCGTATACAGCCAATTTGGCAGCTTTTTTGACTGTGAAAAAAATAAATACTCCCATTAAGTCCGTGACAGATTTAGCATCACAAACTACTATAAGATATGGAACTGTTATAGATAGTGGCATTATGCAATTTTTCAAAAATACGGATATAGAACATTTTGCAAAAATGTGGGCACAGATGAGTGAAATAGACCCTCAAGAATCAATGGTTGCGAATACAAGTGTTGGCTTTCAAAAAGTCAAAAAGGGGAATTACGCTTTCTTTTGGGATACAGCCGTTAATAAGTATATGACAATTAAAGACTGTGAATTTATGGAGATTGGTCCTCATTTTGATCCAAAAGGATTTGGAATTGGAGTTCCACCCGGAGCCACATACAGGGAAGAGTTATCGATGGCAATATTGAAATTAGGAGATGCAAGTATATTGCATCAACTTGAAAATAAGTAAGTCACTTTTTACTGCCGCAGAATTTTATGTTAGAACAACCATTGAAGGTAACTTACAAGGTCGTAAGTTTATCTAGTCCACACGCTGGTGACAACTATAAAGAAATATTACAGGATAATTGCACTTATTTTGAGGAGTATTGATCCATGCGTATATTAAAGTTCACAATCTTGCTACATGTAACACCAAATATTTCACCTACATTGATGATACTTCGACCAATTTTTGCAGCTCTTATGCATACAGTAAGGATGTAATAAAATTGACAATGGAAACGGGGAATGCGTCAAAAAGACAACAATCCGACCAAAGAGTAGAAAACAGCCAAAGAACACCAATGGTCTTCAACACAGCGAGAAAATCCCGCACCCCGAGGCGGGCTTCAGCTGGCCCCTAAATAATAATGTGTACTAGTTCAGCGATGATGGACGTCACACTAAACTCCGAAACATATAAATAAACCAAAATTTAAAAAATATATACAAGACTAACAAAGGCCAGAGGTTCCTGACTTTGGACATCACAACCCTCCCCTATACATCTAGCCAATGTGGAATAAACAAACACACATCAATATGCACAGTAAAATTCAGTTTAAAAGAAGTCCGAGTCTGATGTTAGAATAGGTAACAGAAGAAACTAAGCAAAATGACAATAATTATCATAAATTAACAAAGGACTACTAGCAGATACTGACATTCCAGCTCCAGACCTCAATTAAACTGATTGAAGGATTATGTCTTCATCATATGAAAGGCAAGCAGAATCCCTCCCGTTAGGGGTTTAGTATCATAAAATATACGAAAAGAACATGACCTGTATCATGCCATAAACTGGTTTTAAAATAAATATGTTTTTTCCGATGCAAAGACCCTATTAGTGAATCAATATTAATTCCAAAAAATGCCATCTTTAGTGACGTGACAACAGTATCGTAACTATATCCCTTCTGAATAAGTCTGTTTTGAGGTGAATGACGACATTGTTGTGCTTTGTATAGAATATTACCATAATCTAAGATTTAATCTAATGTTCATTTCCGCCTTCTTAATTTTCTTGTCTGTTTGCGTGCAAATATCGTTTTACTCGATATCTCTATTTGGAAAATACAAAACTTTAATGAGAAAGTACGTAATGCAATATCAATCAAGATGCAACATTTTGAACTCATCGAATGTTCTACTTTTTAGACATATTTATAAACGAAGGCCAGTAAACATATAGGCAAAATTTGAGTTTTTATTTTACATGTAATTCACATGAAATATTTTACACTATATTGTAAACTCGTATATAGCTTATCAAAGGGAACCGTAAAAATTTTAGGTGATAGATTAGATGTTATGTATCATTTCCTATTCTCATATTTAGACAACATTTCCGCTCGGACAATTTTTATTTTCGATATGAAATTATAAAGTGCTTATATTAAGAAGCAGATTAATTATCTTTGGAAACTCTCTGTGTCATTTTGTTATTCAATTGTTGGCAAAAGTTATACGACATATATGCTGTTATCAGATGTCAACTTACTTAATGTATAGAGTTACATGCATTCAGCTGCATAAAATACCGGTTGATAGCAAATTGGTTTGTAAAACATGTTTACACATTTGACTTTTTTATGTAAGCGACGGGGGCATTAAGTGCTACCCTTGACCGTCCATCCTTCCATCTTTCCGTCTTTCTGTCCGTCCGTTCCATTTTCGTTGCAAAGCTTGAGCGGGGGCATTCGTGTCCTCAGACACATTCTTCTTTTATTTGAATTTTCTGACTAACTGATTTATTGTGCCGAACTAAATGTTAATCATTGTCGACCCAATACTATACATTACATTAAGTATAACGATTTTTAATGGAGGAAATGTATGACTAGGAACCAAATGAAACTACTTTTGCAGGTGGTGGCCACGACGAACGTGCCCAGATGTAACTAAACCTTCTGCAGAAGAGACATCAGAACTTCAGATTGAAAATGTGGCGGGAGTTTTCTTCATTTTATCGGGAGGTATTGTGTGTGCAGCAATAGCTTGTGTTTTTGAATACTTCTCTAAAAGTTGTAAAAATCGAGAAAGAGAAGTCCAAAAACGAAAGGTAAGATTGACATTATGATTATTTTACTTAATATGCAATAATGGTAAGCATTAATATTACATTCCATATATGTATATCCATTTTATTCCACCAGTATGGTATATGTACGCTACGTCAACTCTGAACAAAAGACAAATGATCTAACTCAAAGCGGAGTGTCCGAACAAGACTGAATTTACCACAAAGCAAGTTCTGTGGTGCAAGCTGTATTCTCTGAATTAAACTGATACAGTCTAGATAGATTGAATACGTTGTGCTGTCAGAGCACGAGAATATTGTTATAAAGAAACATAGTACTGAAGAAATATTTTCAATATTCATTTTAAAAGTAGAAAATGAAAAGAATTCACAAGAGACATGCAAAATCAATACCAAAGACAGCAGTGAAGTTCAATTCCCCAAATTTCACACTTTTACAAATGAATATATACAGATTAATGATTTTGTTTCCTTGCGTTCTGTGGGGCAAGCTGCATTTGGTCTCTCTCTACTGTTTCTTACCTAATTTATATGTTTATTGGGAAAACAATTTGATTTAAAAAAAAAGTTTGATAAGTTTTATGTTAACTTTTAAGACATTTGGTTATTGTATATAACTAGAGAAGTGAATTTATTAGACACTGAGACTTCGTCAAAGATAGCCATTATCAAATGTATTGAATTGACGAGAATGAAAAATAAATGATTGATGCAGTCACATTCTATATTGCTTGCTTTGTGGTAAATTCAGTCTTGTGTCGGAAACTTCGCTTTGAGTAAGATCATGTGTCTACTGTTCAGAGTTTATGTAGCGCACATATACCATACTAATCACTTCCATGAAAAAATGACTTTACCAATTCTTGATTGAGGGAAATTTCTATACGGCACATAATGCAGTTTTAATGGATATGTTAAATGCGTTCACAACAAAACGATTGTTTCGATTTTAAATTCAATTACATATGAACATTTTGATATTTTACTCTTAGATCTGTACTTTGTGTCTTTTTATACGCCTGTCAAAATTTTGACAGAACGTATTGTGGTATACAAATGTCCGGTGTCCGTCTGTCTGTCCGTCCGTCTGTATGTCTGTCCGGCGTCCACATGTCGCAACGTAACTTGAGAACGACTTATCCAAATTTCATGAAACTTAATATAGTTGTTTCTTATGATGGTCAAACGATCTGTATACTTTTTGGTGAAAATAAGATTAAAACTTTTTGAGTTACGGGACTTTGTAACTAAAATGTCGCGCCGTATAACTTCTTAGTTATATTAATCTAAAGATTTGTATACTTTTTGGTGATGATTCAAAATTTTATTTTAGAGTTATTGAGCTTTTTGTAAAAAAAGGGGGGGGGGGGGGGTTCACATGTCGCGCCGTATCTCAAAAACGATTTATGATTGTCTCTTAAAACTTTACACGCTTCTTAATTATATTAATCTAAAGATCTGTATACTTTTTGGTGATGATTCAAAATTTTATTTTAGAGTTATTGATTTTTTTATAAAAAAGGGGGATTTTCACATGTCGCGCCGTATCTCAGAAACGAATTATGATTATTACATAAAACCTCACACACAAGACTACGGTGTGCTCGTGGCGCAGCTGTTTATTTTTGTTATTTGGAACAGGGGCGGATCCAGCCATTTATAAAAGGGGGGTTCCTAACCCAGGATAAAGGGGGGGTTCCAACTATATATCCCCATTAAAATGCATTGGTCGTAAAAAAAGGGGGTTCAAACCCCCGGAACCCCTCCCCCCCCTGGATCCGCCACTGTGGAATGTATCAATACCCTGTCACGTCCGGTCTGTATTTTTGTTAGATGTTGATCTGATGAGTTAAGCCCTTTTCAACTGATTTTTATAATTTTTTTTTTTTTGTAACACCACTGTCCCAGATTAGGGGAGGATTGAGAGCTCACAAACCCCGCCACATTATGTATGTGCCTGTCCGAAGTCAGGAGTCTGTAGTTCAGTGGTTGTCGTTGGTTCATATCTGTCAAATTTCGTTTTTCGTAAATTGTTTTGTTATAAATTAGGCCGTTAGTTTTCTCAATTGGCTTGTTTCATATTTTCCATGTCGGGTTTTTTTTTATACGGTATGGGTTTTTCTTATTGTTGGAGGCCGTACGGTTGCCTATAATTGCTTACATCCACTTCATTTGAACTTTGGTGGATAGTTGTCTCGTTGGCAATCATACCATATCTCCTTATTTTGATATTTCAATAAATATTTTAAAATGTGCATATCTTCTGGAATAGATACATGCATGCAAACTTAAATAATATACTTTTTATATATTACAATTTTTTTCTAACATAATTTTTTTTATTCGCATTTTCATACCATCTCTTTTGACAATTCATGTCTTCAGTAAGTTCAACATCCTCCTTTGCAAACACACATGGGGAAAATTCCTACTGGAAATATTGTCCCATTTAGATAGAACCAATATCCCATTAGTAATTGACTTTACAAATGAACAATAAACAACTAATATGATACGGCGACAGGAAAAATTGACCTTAAATTCCTGATATAAGACTAAACAATAGAGTAAATAAGACAAAACAATGAAAAACAAATGAAGTGTCGTATTTCATACAATCAATATACAAAGACAATCAGACAATTCATTACTCAAGTGTCATTTGTCGTTCCTTCTGATGTGACTGACCGCAATAAAATACAAATTTGCCTTCATTAGTTTCAGCTTTGGGACAGATTGTGGGTTCGTCTTATTATCATCTAAACGTATACACGTACTTATAAATATACAAGTTAGCTTAACGTGAATATTTCAGAAAAATACAAGTTCGCATTAACACATAATTGTACTAATGAATTGGTTTTTTGATAGAAAATAAAAGCTAATATTCAAGTATGCATTTTTATAAATGAAACCGTTCATTTAATTGATTTGAAATAATGAGATACGACCAATGGCTCACTAGTGTACACATCTACTGGTATGATAATCTTAACTATGTCAATTGAAAGCCATATAAACTGCTAGATATACTAAACCAATCACTTCTTTATAAATTTTGCACATAACAGTCCTTATAGACAGAATACGTTGGCTAATATATTTTATAGACAGAATACGTTATAGATAGAATATGTTGGTTAATATATTTTATAGACAGAATACGTTGGCTAATATACATTTATTTCCCGTGCCGGAGGGAGATATGAAGATTTGTTCATCCAAGAATATTCATATTTCACGAGGGCTCTGCCCGAGGGAAATATGATTTTTCGAGGGTGAGCAAATCTTCATATCTCCCGAGGCAAAGGGAAATGAATGTTTTATTCCACTGCCTATGCTTTGTTTACTATCAATACATTAAATATTATTATGCATACATTTTTTTCTTATCCGCTTGTTTTTGCAAGTCAAACTAAACACGACATACCCATTGGTAAACAGTAAGGATCATAATTTAATTATAAGTCTTTTTGTTTTATCGTCTAAAATAAATTTGCACATGATAATGATTTTTGCTATCGCTATTTTAAGAAGAATAAGAAGTTCAAAACGTTATGTACATTAACCGCGCGTAACGTCGCAAGAAGTAATCCCGACATTTCAGAGGGGAATATGATCCTCAGAATGGAATATGAAGATTTGTTCAATGACACGTGGGATAGTCTCAACCAATCAAATATTGATTAAACTATCAATATGTTTAAACAGTGGAATAATATATTTTATAGACAGAATACGTTGGTTAATATATTTTATAGACAGAATACGTTGGTTAATATATTAAAAGAGAAAAAAATATTATTAAGTGTACTATGCTAGTACATTCTATAACTTTAATAAATATATCAGTCACGCTCAAACTAAACAAATGAAAGCCAAGGATGTACCTATGTACTTGAATAGGCGAGTAGTAATATGACTTAAACAGAATATCCAAATACTAAGTTATTTCTATACAGTTCGTTTATTAGTACCTTAACAACGCCTATTTTGTCTCTTTCCAATAAACAAGGTTGTTTAACTCGGTGTTGCGGTTTGGTTTTTTTTCGAATAAATCTTCCGATGGTTTGATAGTAGCATGCTTATTTGTGAAAGCCAAATTTATAGGAAATAAAACCTTTTTCAAATGGCTGAGATATCTTACCAGTTTGAAAGTTACAGGTATAAACATAAATTTAAAAAGGCAAAGGAAACCTTTCCATCATAAAAAAAATAGAAAGATAATAGATATACGCATCGAAGTCATAAATATAATGTAGTTTTCCCATGATCATAATGGTTTTCATAATCACATTTTATCATGTCTCTTACGAACAATTACTGCTAGTAGTAGCTATATTAGACATCATGTACATTATATATATTTTCAGGAAAATAACAGTACTCCGAACCATGTAAATCATAAAGAAAGAGAAAGCTTTTTATGACATAATGGAAGTTGTAGCTAGCTATTTTTGTTCATCAGATAATGGTGAAGCTAGTAGAATATGTTTAATATCCTCGAGAGTACATATTACGTTACAGCACATCATAAAAGCTTGCAGACTTGAGACCATTTGTTGATCTCATATTGTATTTATGGCGCAGTAATTGGGAGGTGTACAAAAATTATCTTCATATTTCAAATTAAGATGAAACTGAGATCTTTAATTCTTTAAAAAATATTCCATTTTGGTTTAATTGATAAACATGTTATACCGACTGGATTGCTCTAGATATGTGTTTATAATATAGGCCTGCTTCCAACACAGTATTTATAAAGCCGAGTTCCCGCCTGAAGTATTGACAGCAAAACAATTCCATAGAAGTCAAAATGAATGATTAAAACTCGAAGTAATAAGCAAAAAAGAACAGTTAAAGAAGGAGGAAATCCGTCGTTACAGTATGGTGGTTTTTATTGTTAAAGTCGAATTTGTTCGTTTGACATTTCTCTAAATGATGTAATTTAATCTACATTTTTAAGACATTGTACCATTGATTTTTATGATTTTCAGCGACAAATGTTATGGTACATTTGAAATAATGATTACCTTCATGTAAATTATGCATAACTGTCGTGAGCTTAGTCTAATAAGTCATGTAAAATATGTTTAGAAGATAGTTTTAAGTAACACAAGTTAAGTGTCTAAAAATTGGGAATCTCTTTAAGGCATTATAACGATAACAAAATGGGTCTATGCAAGTACCGGCCATACATGCAATCCTATTAATTCAAAAGAATACGATAAAAGTCCGAATACGCATGATTAAAAGAGGGACGAAAGATACTAGAGGAACAGTCAAACTCATAGATCGAAAACAAACTGACAACGCCATGGCCAAAAATAAAAAGACAAACAGACAAATAATAGTACAGATGACACAACATAGAAAACTAAAGACTAAGCAACACGAACCCCACCAAAAACTGGGGGTGATCTCAGGTGCTCCGGAAGGGTAAGCATATCCTGCTCCACATGTGGCACCCGTCGTGTTGCTTATGTTATTACAAATCCGGTAAATAGTCTAATTCGGTAAGTCACATTCGAGAAAAGGGAAGGTATTGTAGTTACGACATAAGGAACATATCCGATATCATCTGTGAAACGGTTATTCCATAACGGTCAACCAACTCGTGATGGCGTCCGTAAAACTTACGAAGGGATGATTTCAACTTCACCATTTGGAACTCTTGGTTTAATAGCTTCCTTGTGAGCAGCAATCCTCTATCAAGGAAATCATGATAGGAAACACAAGCCCGGGAATATCGTATCAATTGGGAGATATATACTCCGTATGCAGGCGCTGCTGGAATGTTGCTACATAGAAATGGAAAGTTCACAATTGGGAAGCTGAAATCATCTCTTTTGTCGTAAAGTTTTGTTTTCAACCGACCCTCATTTACAATTTCTAGATGTAAGTCAAGATATGAGGCAGACTTAACTGTATCTGTAGTATCCTTTATCTCTAGTTCGATGGGATAGATTCGTTCAACATAGTCACCAAATTTTGTATTATTTAGTGAGAGAACATCATCTATATAGCGGAATGTAGAGTTAAAGGATATTGCTAACTTCTTATCTTTCTTCCTAAGAAGTTCCTGTATGAAGTCAGCCTCATAATAATAAAGAAACAAGTCGGCAAGAAGAGGGGCACAATTAAGTGGCGATTGAGCATAATGTAAGATAGAAATGTATAACTAGATTCTCAAGAGCCTGTGTCGCTCACCTGTATCTACTGTGTTTTTGGAAATCATATAGAATAAGGTTAAAATCATAATAAATAGTATTAGATACCCTAATAATGATTGAGGCCAAGTTTGGTTTGATTTGGCCCAGTAGTTAAATTAAAAGCAGGTCATCCCATTGTAGTCTTACAATAGTTACTGAAGATCCCTTATCATTATCTAAATTAGTTTTCAAGTTGTGACCAATTGAAATTGTTTTTTTTTTACAATTTTCCCTTAGACTTCTATAGTAAACCCCTTTGATCTATTTTTAGCCATGGCGGCCATGTTGGTTGGATGACAGGGTCATCAGATACATTTTTCAATCAAGATACCCTATTGAAAATTGTGGCTAAGTTTAATTCTGTTTGGCCCAGTAGATTAAGTGGAGAAGATTTTTGTAAAAGATTACAAAAATTTACGAAAAATTTACTATAAAGGACAATAACTCATTAAGGGGTCAATTGACAATTTTGGTCATTACACTTATTTGTAGATGGTACTTTGCTGAACATTATTGCTGTTTACAGTTTATCTCTATCTATAATAATATATAACCAAAAACTGTAAAATTTCCTTAAAATTACCAATTAAGGGGCAGTTACCCAACAACGGGTTGTCTGATTAGTCTGACAATTTCAGGGCAGATAGATCGAAACCTGATGAACATTTTTTACCCCATGTCAGATTTGCTCTACACCTTTAGTTTCAGAGATCTAAACCAAAAACTGCATTTTACCCCTATGTTCTATTTTTAATCATGTCGGCCATGTTGGTTGGCAGGCGGAGTCATTGGACACATTTTTTAAACTAGATACCCTAATGATGATTATGGCCAAGTTTGGTTAAATTTGTCTCAGTAGTTTCAGAGGAGAAGATTACAAAAATTTACGAAAAATTGTTAAAAATTGACTTTAAAGGGCAATTACTCCTGAAAGGGTCAATTGACAATTTTGATCATGTTGACTTATTTGTAGAGCTTACTTTGCTTAACATTTTTGCTGTTAACAGTTTATCTCTATCTATTATAATATTCAAGATAATAACCAAAATCTGCAAAATTTCCTTAAAATTACCAATTCAGGGGCAGCAACCCAACAACGGGTTGTTTGATGCATCTAAAATTTCTGAGATATAAGCCAAACTGCATTTTACCCCCATGTTCTATTTTTAGCCATGGCGGCCATCTTGGTTGATGGGCGGGGTCATCGGATACATTTTAAAACAAGATACCCGAAGGATGATTTAGGCCGAGTTTGGTTTAATTTAGCCCAGTAGTTTTAGAGGAGAACTTTTTTATAAAAGTTAACGACGACGACGACGGACGACGGACGCCAAGTGATGAGAAAAGCTCACTTGGCCCTCTGGGCCAGGTGAGCTAAAAAGGAGCCAGAAGCGGACTTTGACATCTTTCAATATTGTAAAGATGACTTGCAGTCCATAACTCTTTATTTTATCAAAATAACAAATAAAATTTAAATATGTGTACATGTACATGTATGTACCAAAAAAAATGCCCCTGCAGAATATTAAATATTTATTGATATAGTTGTTTTCATTATATCTATATATGGTAATGATTGTTTATTGGCTGCTTGATGTCCACTTTGAACTATTTATCCATACAAAGGATCAACATAATGAGTGAGGTGAATATTTCAACATCATGAGTAAGATATTTATATTGCTATGCATGTAGATCTCAATGTATTAAAATAGTCCCTTAAAATACTTGTCACAACAAGGTGATATGGACTTTCATCAAAATAAGATAAATCAGTGATTTTTTTTTAAATTCAAGGGAATTTAATATTAATTTCATCCAAGATAGATAGGTCTATAAAACATTAAACATTGTAGATAAATTTGTACAAAACAGCAGCCGGTGTTTCAAAATTCCACATAGCAAATCTGAACAATATAAACCGTCATTCTTTGTAAAAACATTTTTTTATTGGAATAGACTACCAAACAATCTGTGAGTACCATTACAATTGAGAGCTTTAACACTTCGGTTGCTCTCACATCGTTGGACTAATTTTCCAGCGCCTCTCTTCCGTTGGCGTTGCCATTGATGCTTATCCTGGCCCTGCAACGTACTTATTCAGATTCAGGTCTATGTCTGTTGAAACAATAATCCGGGATGACGATGGTTCTAACGAACATTGATGTGATCGTTGTCATCTAAAGACAGATTTTTAATATTTGTCTCCTAGAACAGGTCTTCATAGATAAAACAAGATGCATTTCGGATAACTGTGTGTTAAGTAACTACTTGTCCACGACAATGAGCTGACACAACTACATGTTGGCATCCCGATTTTTGACCTTTTATTTTCAATTCGATTTATCACACGTGCGTTTGAATCGAACGGAGCAATATATGCACAAGAAAAACGTCTATGTGAAAAAAATTTCAAGGAGAAACAAAATTTGGAGCGGCATGCGGCCCAAAAATTTGCGTAAGCGGTAATTTTTTTTATTTATTGAAAAGTCAATTTCTCCAAAAAAAAGGAGCGGGAAAATCCAAAGAACTATTAATCAAATTGGTGTGGCCTAATATATCATGTATTGTGTTACAACTCTAGATTCTACTGACGAGGAAAGGTAACACTAGGCCACCGAAAGCTGAGTGGTCTAGACCGCTGGACACAGTGCAGGCGGTGTTGTCTCGATATCTCAATAGCATGAGTTCGAATCCCGGCGAGGAAAGAACAAAAATTTGCTTCCGCAAATTTGCAGATTTAACATTGTTGTGCTGAAATTTAGAGTGATTATGTATATATATATATATATATTTGCGGAAGCAAATTTTTGTTCTTCCCTCGTATATATATATATATATATATAAGATTGTCAGCACAAAATAGATTGATCAAATCGGAAAATAATTACTTAACCACATATGTTGATATGTTTATATTATCATCGATCATATGACTGCTTCGTTCACCAAATATCCAGTCCAGTTGTGCGATATATCATATTTTACCATGTATTAGGGTTTACAGTATAAATTAGGTTAAGACCCGTATCAGTACCAATGTCGGACATTAGTGAAAGTATATTTTAAAACAGATTATTTATATTTCTATGATCCATATTAGCCCTTGTATCATATTCCTCTAACCATGTCCGACCATTATCAGACAAGGACCAGTTAGCAATAACTGGAACAAGTATATATACTAAAACATTTTCAGGGAACATATCTAAAATATCATTAGGAATCAGGGAATAGCTGCTTTCAGAATTTCATGTTAATGCAAAAAATAAGTTTTTATTTAAAGCCAAAACAAATTTGCTATAATCAAAGATTGTTTCATATCACGCACGTCTACGTGCATGTCATTGTGTCATTTTAACGATGAATTTAGCTAGCTCCCCAAGCACAGAAGGAATTACCCTGTCCTTTGTTCTCACTCCTCTTGTAGTTGATTGGTTAATGTGATTCCTAGACGCATGCGTGTAGTGATGATATTGACTTCCGTAATAAACTTATCTACTTATATAATTTTTTTTATATAATCCTCTTTCAACTCTTTAGCATGGTTTTCTAAAGAGATGAAATTACAATTTCCATCATTAGGTGATTTTCAATCTATTAATCAATTGAATTATTCAACAGTGACTGAATTTTAATCAAACTATCTAACATTCCACATTATATAACTGTATGTGTACTTAATGTTTGTTTGATTTATTTTGCCATTTGAATGTTTATTTACATATTCGTATGAAAAAGATTGATATAAGATGACCGTAAATATAAAGTTGTCATGTCTTTTGACGACTTCAGTTGAAAGAGTGATTATAATTTCAAGTGTTGATTGGTTGTAATTCAACGTGTTTCTATATATATAGTGTTTTCTGTGATTTCATCTTTTGTATCTACCATATATGCTATGAACATTGTATTCTTAACAAACTAAGAATTGTATGTTATTGTTGATAATAAATTGTGTGAAGAATTTTTCTTCACAATATGTGTGGGACATCTGACTGAGAATGTTTGATACTTTGGAGTGACGAGTTGTTAGTAGCTTCTTTATCGTTTTACTGTACGTTTTATAGTTTATGTTTATACAATGTACTGCTGTACTGTGAATGCTGCCTTTGTACATAATTTAAAATAAAGTGATTTCCATCCATTGGACATTGTAATTTCTTAAAAAGTTTGATTTTCAAAACTGTTTATTGAAACAATAACCTCTATAGATTACCCTAGACAACTACTCGTATTAATAGTTAAGTGCTCAGAAGCACATGTGATCACTCCCGGCTTTTGATTGATTTTGTGTTACTCAGTCTTTAGTTTTCTATTTTGTGTTACTCAGTCTTTAGTTTTCTATTTTGTGTTACTCAGTCTTTAGTATTCTATTTTGTGTTACTCAGTCTTTTGTATTCTATTTTGTGTTACTCAGTCTTTAGTTTTCTATTTTCTGTTACTCAGTCTTTAGTATTCTATTTTGTGTTCTGCGTACTGTTGTTTGTCTTTAGTTTTGTCGTTTTTCGTTTTTTGTCAAGGCATTGCAAGTTTGTTTTCGACTTATGAGTTTGAATATCCTCTCTTTTATTCGACTTTTGTCTATGTGTTACATGTATCCAGGTGTTATATTGGGTGTATATCATTGAAATTGTTGCCAGGTCCTGTACACATAAAATCTTCGTAGAGATAATGGATTACTACAATCATAGATGTGGGTTTATACATCTATGCTACAATGTATGCATACTTCTAACCCAGATATTTCAGATAACCGATATCTTCTATTTAAGAGGCTAATGTAACAACTAAGCGACTGAATTATTCGGGTTAGCATATTTCTAGACATGACGAGCAGAATAATATGACCATGTAAATATTGTATCGTCTATAATTCCGTGATATGACTTAAAGGAGACAAACATCAATAAGACAGCATCCTAGCGATTCCCAACATGACCTCCAAAGGTCAACATATGGTCTAACACAGTTGATAAGAATCTTGTATCTATACAAAATGCCAAGCTTTAAAGGGCCCTTAGTCTTGAGAAGTTGTAAATAAAGTAACGAGTGCCCATCACATATCTGTCATGATTACTTAATTATCATATAGTCAATAACATTAAGAAAGACTTCTCGACAAAAAACAATAACAAGTTATTACAGTAAACTCATCAAAATATGAGACGTCTCTGCATTTGTAAGTGTACTTGGTAGAAACCAATAAATGTGCACTTCGTAGAAAGGATCTAATGGAACAATACCATCAAGTCGATCTATTTTTCATAAATGGTATAATTTCTTTGAAAATTTAGATAATAATTTAAAACAAATGTTGCATTGAATAAGAGTAACGTCAATTTGATAGAGGAGGTGTGATTAGGCCACTTTTTGGCCCTTCGAATTAAAAAAAAACATTATAATCTACCAAATAACATTCTTATGATATTCATATGACATTAGTCTATTAGACATCAGTATCTATATTCATAAAATTTGTCTTACATATTGATCTGCCAAAGTAGCCTCATCCTGATGTCTTATCGTTAATATTTAAATATGAGTAACAGCTTTACTAAAAAATTCTTTTGGTACAAAATATATTTAACAAAGATGGTGATGTGTGTAAAAATGTCTTTTTGGTAAAGCAGTTGCTCGTATATATTTTGACCAAAAAGTATGATTACAATGGTCATTTTAGGTCAAATACGTAAATTTCGACATGTTTTTGATGTCGTGGGGACATCAGACGTGACATTCCTGCACTAAAGTTTCAAGACCAAAGCAATGTGTTCATTTATCAATGAAATCAATCTACTTTTGATAGGTTTGAATGTTTATTCAATATATCAGGCTCTCAGTAATTGTAATCGCTTAAACGGTGGTATATAATTATGTAAATGATTCATTAACAGTATATTTATACCATAATATAACAAGCCTTAAATTGCTCCAATTCTTGACAAGTTGCATACAAATGTGACGGAAATTACAACAGATCTAGATTTACCATATTAACCAAATGTGTCATAACACTCATTGATAAAACGGATTCAATTAAGACCATATATAAATGTGTTGTTAAAACGGTTGAAATACCAACAGTAAAAAGACTTGCTGTTAAACGTGATGACAAACGAAAATAAAACTCAGAAAGAGAAACAAAACAATGGTCTATAACAATAACAAACAGAAAAAGGATCAGCAGGACACTCATTTAAAAATTTGCGAATCAAAACATTTTTATGGTGACAATTGGATATGTTCATTGCAGGGGGACGTCTATTGGTTATTTGGTTACCACATTTTATGTGTTGGTAAATCGATTTTTAGTTCCCTATTGTTAATTTTCCATTTTTGGGCAGTGATGTTTATTTAACATTTACTTACGGTGTGAATATTTCACAACTTGTTTGCTTTGCTCGTGTATGTATGTAGTGATGCTTTAGAATTCAATGAAAGTAATCTATGAATCACTAGTATATTATTAAGTCAGGGATTTCATTACCATAAATTACTTGTAACTTTCAATAAGGTTTGAAAATTTCTCAGGCAAAGTTTACCTTAGATGAATTTGGCTATTATTTTAGGTCATTTTTCGTCATATGGTTCTTCACTTGTCTGTTCCTTTGCTTTCAGATATTCTACTTTGAGCGTTTCTATTGAAAGTAAATCGTTTAATGTTTTGTAATTAATCACGACGATGATTTCAAGTTTTTTTCGTTTGAATCGTTTCACATTTTGTCCTATCGGGGCATTTATAGCTGTCGATATGGTATGGAATTTGATTATCGTTGAAAGCTGTACGGTAACCTATAGTTGCTTGAATTCGCATCATTTTGACCCTGTTTGATAGTTGTCTCATTTGCAATCATACCATAGATCCTTATTTTATATCTGTCAATATATTTGGTATATTATGTTTGATTCATAAAGACGTTTTCAAGGAAAGAAGATTTCAACAAAAATAAATCGCCAGTTTAAAATTCTGTTCCCACGCCAGGGAAATTGATAAACACAACATAAAATATTTACGAAAGAACAATATAAGAGCCGACAAGAGATCGAAACCAATACATTCCGCACTCGAGGCAATCACACTACCACAACACCACTGATGCGATTAAAAAAATAGATTATCCAAACGATATGTTGAACATTCATTAACATATTTTCACGAAAACATGTTTTGCTAAACCTTGGCTCATATTTGAATATTAGTGACAAGATCTCAATATGCGGTTATTTTGGAAGTTTTTGCAGTTTTAAGCCCTATTGCCAATATGTAACACAAAATTCAATATATAGATAATGATGTCTGACTTTCCATTTGCGATAATAAACAAACACATCTAAAAAAAATATTATCGCAAATAAATAGTCTTGTCTATAACAAAAAATTAATTTACTTTGGTTTCGGATAGCCTACAATTCAAAATTTAGTAAAAACGTTGTAACAATGTACTTCATCGGTATAGTTCGTTGCTATGAAAACGAAATATATCTGAGACAAAGACGCAGACTCTGCTACTTCAAAAGGTCATTTATATGGATGATCTTTTCTGTCACGATGTCTGACTGATAAAATAAAAAAGGAAAAATTTGTATTTAAAGAAAACGTGATTTTGATCTCAGTGTTGATTCTAATTAAAAACAATCCCTTTCTAGAATGCCCAGTAGGACTTCATGATTTATACTAACGTGTCTTAGCCAGAAGAATTGCAATGTAACCTAATATGGTTTCTTCGTCTTCATCATAAACCAGGGTTGTTATATCCTAAATCTTCAATAGTGTCTTTGAATTAGCTTTTTACATGAGACTAGATATAAGAAGATGTGGTATGAGTGCCAACGAGACAACTCTTCATCCAAGTCAAAATTTATAAAAGTAAACCAATATAGATCAAAGTACGGCCTTCAACACGGAGCCTTGGCTCACACCGAACAGCTAGCTATAAAGGGCCCCAAAAATTACTAGTGTAAAACCATTCAAACGGGAACATTGTTTTATGTACGGTTATTGGTGACCTCATTTTTATTTTGTCGTTTTATGTCGTTTAAATTTGATATGTAATCATATATAATTTCAGTTTTCCAGTCACATGTTAATTCTGTCTTTCAGTTCAGTTCAGTCACATGTTAATTCTGTCTTTCAGTTCAGTTCAGTCACATGTTAATTCTGAGACTCTCCTTCAGTTCAGTTCAGTCACAAGTCATGTTAATTCCCTCGATTTCAGTTGTTCAGTCATATGTTAATTCTCTCCATCATATTAGTTGTTCAGTCACATGTTAATTCGCTCTATCATTTCAGTTGTCCAGTCACATGTTAATTCGCTCTATCATTGCAGTTGTTCAGTCAATGCTTATTAGTTTTTTGTAGGGTGTTGTTTGTCTTTTCGTAGTTTTCGTTTGTTGCCATGGTATTATCGGTTTTTCTTCGACTTTGATTTCTGATTGTCCCTTTGGTATCTTCTGTCAATGTGTTTTCTCTATATCAGTTCAGTTGTCATGTGACACCTAATTAACCTCTCTAATCCGATACTATAAAGTAAAATGTTGTTTTAAAATAAAATATTCCAATTCTGCTCAAGAGGCACTCAAGTCTAATGTAACATGTAGCATATGTTTTCTTATAGAAATCACATAAACAATAAATTTGTAAAAAAGTATTCACATAAACAATAAATCTTTAATAAAGTTTTCATCATAATACTTATCTCTTGAAATAAAAAGATTGAAAACTCTTTAATTATTTTTCTCTCCAAAATAGAAAAAAAAGTTCTGAAACTTTTTTGGCAGATATAAGCCGCTCTTTTGCAAAACAAGGATTTTCAATTACATCAAATGAGTTAAAAAAATTTGATACAAAGTTTGTTTCATGCAATTAAAGTTCAATAACTTAATTAACGACATTGCATGATTTTTTTGCCGCCATAGTCAAATATTTAAGCTCCGATGTCTTCATCAACAAGGTTGTATTTCATAGAAACATTGTTAAGACAATAGACAGCCAATACATAACATCATTGCGTCCTCATTTCCTGTATATACATTTCTTCGAAAACTAATTATCATCCCAATACAATCTATATGTTAGTTTGTGACCTCAGCTGGCCATGTGTAACCAGTTCAGAAAACATTGGGGAACCATTGCAATCTGTAGTT